ACGGCTTCCAGACAGGCTCCATGAGGGCTGGCCTTTTTGGAGTTCCTGAAGTCTTCATGTAAGGAGGAACCGTAAAAGACTGAGTAAGGTTCATTCTTCAGCTAGAGAACCTGAGATCCTGGGCCTGTGGCTAACTGACCTTGAAGTTGCCACAGGTCTGAGGTGGCCCTAGGTGTAGGGCCTCACTTGGAGAGTGATTTAGAATCGCTGCAGAGTAAACTCTAATGGAATCTTAGTAGTTAAGCACTTTGGCTCAGAGCCTCAATGGTTTGGAGAGGAAGGCTGAAGTGATCTAGGATTCATTCTACAACACCAGAGTAGGGATTATGACAATAACATTTCTCAACCAGTTCTGTGTATGGTAATTACTACTGAGAATGTACAAAAACTAAGGTGCCAAAAGGTTTAAGGTGTTTCCATAGCTGTGGGGGACTCCTAGAAGAACACAAGGGAGATCAAGCACGCAGAAGTTTGGAGAGAAATTGTTTGCCTTCAGGGGCTTTGGGTGAACTCAGTGGCACACGGGCACACCATCAGGAACATCAAGATGAAACCTGATCAGGGACTCTCCGGCTGCTTCAGGAGGTCACCCCAACTCTGACTCTAGTAATCAACAACTCTGAAGACAGCATCAGTTTTTCTCAAACAGTTTAATAGCAAATAAACAAAGGAAGGTACCACACTTGGCAGATACAAAATGACTTTTTGTCCGTGTGTCTGTGCAATTAAAACAGATTTAGGTTCCCCATTGGGACAAAAGGAAAAACACACAAAAAAAGGAGAATTCTTTTAAACACATATTCCTTTGCTCCAAACTTGTAACAACTTTTTTTCTTTTTTTAATCCACTACACAAACTCTGTGATTAGGTAAGAAAAGCAATAAGGGCTCTTCTTGCCTTTTTAAAAAAACCATTAAAGCAAAATCCATAATTCTCTACAGAGTACAACACAAGTCCACACAAAAAAGACATTTTCTTTTGCAAATCAAAACAGGAAAGAAAGGAAAGCTCAAACAAGGTCAAGGAAAAGCATTTCTACGGCTGAATCACGACTTTGAGTTGATTAAATCCCGTTGTTGCTGCAGAACAGACTGTGCGTTTGGTCATAGTGGCAATTTTTTTTCTCTTCACATTGTGAAATCACTTTACATTGTTTTCTAGTAGAAAAGGCAAAAAACTGTACAAAACCCCTAGTGTTAAATACAACGTTTGTACCAATAAAAAACTCACACAGGTTTGTCTCCAAAATGTAAAGTTTCTTTTTTTTTTTTCTTTTTAAATTATTCACAAAAAGCAGCTGGAAATCAGAAAGGCAGCTGCCGCTCCAGGGTCTCAAATCCATTAAAACCACCACAGAACAATTAAAACAATCAGAGAGAGAAAAGGAAAAGGAAACAATGTCCAACGTTTGGCATTTGGTTTTATCCACAGGTTTTCCCAGAGCTCCTCTTGGAATTGAAAGCAAAATATATTGGCAAACACAGCTTCTCAATACACAGGAGCCTCAACGCCTCCTGCCAACAGAGGCGGCTCTGTGCAGTCAGACTGTGGGGCGCACAGCAGTCTCTCAGGCTAGGGCTTCTGGCCTCTTTCCAACCAATCACCCTTCCAGGAAATCAAGCAGCCTACATACACTGGGCCTCCACTTGGCTGCCCTTTCCTCCTAGTAAGAGTGGTCTCAAGCACAATACTGGGCAACCTGCTGGGTTCCAGAGCAGAAATTCTGATGGGATCCCTTCCTCTGTCAACCTTAGCATGGATGATGCTACAGTGTTTCTACCCCCCCCCAAAAAAAAGTCCCTTGCTGTACCTCACCACCCTTGACAATTCTGCTTTCCAGATCTCCCTCCCACCAGCATGGAGGTCTGGGTGGGCTCTGTCATAAACACCTCCCCTGCTACCTCTTCTCTCCACAGATCCATTCCTGCATACTTATCTTCTTTGGCCTCTCCCCCTCCACTCACATTCTTCCTCAAGTTCCCAAGACCCTGAGGCTGGACGGTGCTACAAGAGAAGAGGGTAACTCCTCAGGGAACCAAAGAACTGGCTGGCCTGACACCCAGGGACCATAGCTATTTGGCTCTTCACCCAATTTAAAAAACAAATCTCCGCCCTCACCCCCACCCCCACCTCACTAGCTAAGCAAGAGCAGAGCCTGTGGTGAAGAAGAGCCAGTGTGAGTGGCTGGTGTCCAGGGCTGTAAACAGTGTGAAGACTAGAATTGTGCTTGTCACCTAGGAAAAGCGCTAGCAAGTGTATTGGCGCTTAGTGCGTGGATGGCCTCCTATGGGTGGTTAAGGAGCACCTTCCCTCCTCTGGGAGCTGCCCTAACGCACTAAGACTCCTGCCCATCTGCAGCCACCTTAGCACTCTATCTCTGCTTCTCATGCCTCTCTAGGCCCCCTCCCACCCCTCTGAGCAGATCAGCCAGCCTCCTGGGCACTGTACTGAGATCTGGAGGCCACAAGAGGTGACAGTCTAAGTGCACAGGCAAACACTCTAAGGGCAATAGAGGAGAAAGTTGCCACTTCAAAATAAACAGTACATTCTTGGGGAAAAAAATCAATCCCACAACAATTTAAAACAGCTTATTTGAAACCCTTTTAAATCAGTCAGTTTTTGCACAAACTATAGAAAACAGAGAGGTGAAGGTGATATATACGAAGGTGTGAAGAAACAGCAGGAAACATGCAAAACTTGTTTTTGTTTTTTTTTTTGGGCATAATCTTAGAAAGAAAAAAATTCAAAACAAAAACAATACAAAAACAAAAAGTTCAAATTATCACATTTTGCTGTGGAGACTGTAGGGACAAGCATGGAGGTGGGCCCGACAGGGCTGAGGGGAAGGCGGCAAGAGGGACCCAAGGCTTCCCCAAAGGGTCACTCCAGGGAAGAACTATAAAGAAAAAGGGCTGGCTGGGGGGGCCAAACTGCAGCCTTCCAGTCAAAATGGAAGGGAATTCAGGTGTTTTCTGCAGTCGAGAACTCAGAAAAAACAAAAATAAGAACAACACATGCGGTCTCCTCAAGCCCCGAACTATATCAGCAAAATGTGCTCAGGAGCCTCAAAGGTTTAGTGACATCTTTTTATTTCATTGTTTACTTCAAAGTTGTCTTTAAAACTAAGCACACAGAGAAACAAAGCCTAGAAACGGACTTGGCTGTGTGTTCACAGAAATACAAACACCACACGGTATGTGCTAGTAGGGCTGCTCTGAAGACAATTACAAAGAATTGGAATCACAAAATCAAGTGGTTATCTTATGAAGTTCTAGAAAAATAGATTTTTTTATATTCAAATGCAAGTTTAAATATTTCCCCTTCAGCAGTCGTTCTAGCAAAACCAATTTTGGCAGCACAAAAGGGAAAAAAAGGAAAGAAAAAAAGAAAAAACAAAGAAAGAAACAAACATAATAAAAATACACGTCAGCATCAAAGGTCAACACAAGGTCAAAGGTGAGAGTTCAAGCATCAGAGAAGCTGAAGAGACAGGGATTTGGACGATGTACTTGACGCCACATCGACATGCTTTAGGCACAACGATGAACAAACGGCAGGAATCTAGAAAAAAAAACAAACCAGAAAGAGGGAGACCCACTGAGTTACACAGAGCAATACATCCAAACAAAGAGAGAGAGAACAGGACACTCACTGTGTGTACAGCCCTGAAATGAGGAGGCGGGGCAGGGTAGGGGGGTGGGTAATGATAGGGAACTTTTGCACATGCTAACAATGGACACAGGGAAAAGTCAAAAAGGACATGGAGGACGTCAAGAAAACATCCAATTGCCAGAGACAGAAGGGAACCTAAGGCTTGGATTTCCTGCGAAGCATCCAACACATAAGGAAAAAAAGGTCTTCAGGAGAGTGAGGCCTCAGCTTCTCTCCCATTCCCTGGTCAAGAGGTGTGTGGGGGAGGGGTGGGGGGAGGTGCTAGCTGTGGTGGGGAAAATTCTCTAGGGGAAGATCCTATCGGATGGCCCTTTGTTCGAAGAAATCCAAGCCTTTAGCTTCCATGTAGGCCCTGGTCATTCATGTGGAACCCAGAAGACAGTGGTTTGGTTGCGTTCAAGGCAAATCAATTTCATGATGTAACCCAAGTAAGAAAGAAAACTATAGCAGAAAACACATTGTAAGGTGAAACCTCCACACAACAAAAAGGATTGCTTAAGACTCGACTTAAGAGTCTCCACTCTCTGAGCTGAGCCCTTTCATATCGTGAGATTTATAGGGAAGCAGCTTCTTCACAAAACCATCTTTGGCCTGGGGAGAGAACTGTGCTCAAGGGCAGTGCTGCTGTTGTGCTAATGCACTGGTCAGAGGGAGGAGAGAACAGAAGTGTGTGGTCTCACTAGCTGGCTACCTGAGCAGACCAGGACCCTACTAGGGCAAGCACTCCTTTTAGAAAAAGAAACCACAAGCAGGCATGAAGCCTTGGGTCTGTACCAAAGGTGGTGGATTGCCCCTTTGCCTCTTGTCAATAGGAAAGTGGCTTTATAATGTCCCATAGCCCAGGACAAATCCACGGACAAATGGTGAAATGGGGGAGGAGGGAAAGGGAAGAAGGGGAAGGGGCAGGGAGTTGGGGCCAAGGAGGAAGACAGAACAGAAGGTTAGGGAGCACAGAACCGGCAGCACCCTGTAGAGCACAGCTCTCTTCTCTGCCAATTCACAGCATTAACATTAGCCTTCCCCTCGGGCAGGTTAGCTGGGCTGCAAACGGCCACAGAAAGTCAGTAGTTTCAATCATACACAGCACCCTGTGTGTACAACAATCACATTCTGGATTCTACAAAATCCTGGCCTTTTCCAGAGATATAATTTAGGTAATAAATATTCTCCACCCCGGAGCTGTATAAAACTTCTATAAAAATAGAAACAACATTCTTGGTTCCAGCCGGTTGGGATTCAGAACAGCGCCTCCCCAACCTAGCATTTTTTTTCTTTTTTTTTTCTTTTTTTTCTTTTTGTTTTCTTTTTTTCATTTTATTTTTGCATTTATTTAAAAAAAAAAAAAAAGCCCATCATGACCCTGGAAGCCTTTAGAACAGTTTTATCCTTTGAAACACAGGACACATTTCTCTCAGTGTGCAGAATTCAAGTTTACGTGGTTCAGCTCAAGAAGTATGTTTGACGTTTCTTAGAGGACAACACACCCAAGTTATTACTATGAGAAGGGAACAGCTGTCCCAGCTTCGATGGGACAATCCAACCCCAACAACTACCTGCACAACAAGACGGGCATGTCATACCCACAGGGACAGCATGACAAGGAGAGAGCCTCATCTGACTTAAAAGCAAACCAACCCTTTTATTTTGATCTCTGCTGCTAAGGGTCAGGACTCATATTTGTGAGGTTTAAGCTTCCAGGAATCCAGTAACCCAGTCCCTGGCTGTGGTAATAGTCATATTCTAACAGGACTACCTCTACCCAGGTGCACATTCCCACAGCGTGTCATTCCTGGTTCTCCACCCCACTGCATTTGGAACAGAGGCAGAGTCCAGAGGCTGTGTGGGTCACAGGTAAGAGCTGGAGTAAGACCTGTGGGAGGCAGCAGGGAGCTAACTTTAAGCACGAGGACAAAAACGAATACAGTAATACTGAGGTAAATGAACACTAAATCCATAAGGAGGCTGTAAACGTCCTGCACTCTCCTCTGTCCTCAAGGGCAGAAGATAGGGCTAGAGGATAGGGCTAGAGCGGTTAGAAGGGCCTGCCAGATCTCTGTGGGAACACTACCTTTGGTACACCTCAATCAACGAGGCAGGTGTGGATTTCTGCATCTTCTTAAGTACCAAATTCTGGCCACTGTTAAATGCAGCATCCTGGCTTGAAGGGACTTTCAGATTTAGGTATACCAAGCAGCAGGCTCCTCCTCCCCCAGCTAGATGGCTTTTGATCACCCTGTCCAGGAGAAGTGCCCCCTTCAGCTACATACTGCAAGAGCTGCTTGGATCTGCCCTCATGAGAAAATTGCAGCTTGGGATGGAGGTGATATTTCTTCCTGTGGTGAACTTCAAGGAAGTAAATCAGGCAATGTCTTCCATAAAGGCCTTCTTAAAGGGAGCTGTTGGAAATGGGCCATGGCCTAATTTGATGTTGAAATAAACTAAAAAAATGACCTCTTTGGCTGCTTCTCCAAAATAGCCACCAGCCAAGCAAGGCAATCCAATACCAATGGTAGGATGGCAAGGCCAGTAATGGGTGATGTCTCTCTGCATTTTGCATATGTCAGACTATTTTAAGAGGGGCTATATTTCCAGAGAATTGCTGACCCCTTTTAGGAAAAAGGGGCAGAAATCCAGGACAAGAATCTGAAAAATAGGTGGCAAAAACTGAGAATTTTCATAGAAGACAGCTATGGAAGAGTTTCCGCCTCCAGTTCCCAAGGCATCAGGAGTCAAGTCACTCCCACTCTCCTCCACAGCCAACGCGTTTGCTCCACCCCAGGAGCTCTTGGATGTTAATTCTCATTTCACCCACCCTTGCACTCAGGGAGATTCTGGGGCGGGGGGGTGGTCAACTTTTTGTTCCACTTTGTCCTTTCTCTTGGGGTGGTTTGGGGAAAATTGTGATCATCTTTTTTAAACATTTCCCTCTTCCCCCTCCACCAGGGTGGTTTGGTGTTGGTCCTTCTCAACACACTGGTTACAAGCACAGCAAACTTTAAAAACAAAACAAAACAAAAAAAACAAACAACAAAAAAACCCAACTCAGGATATGGCACCTAAACTCCAAAGTAAAACACTGGAAACCAAAGCACAAACTTGTCCTCTGTACGAAGCGAAACTCCCACAGAAGGCAGTAGCTGAGTCTTCAGGGCAAGCTGTGCCTGCGAGAGTGGCAGGGATCAGGGTCCAGGGCTGTCAACACACAGCCTTAGGGCTTCGAATCATTTTAAGGGTGCTCCTCCCCAACTTACCAGAAGACCCTCTCACTCCAGTCTCAGAGGGGAGCACGCTCAGTAGGGCTTGCTGTCATTCTTCGAACGCTTGAGCTGCACTTTAAGTCGCTTCATGCCAATCTGAAAACCATTCATGGACTGGATGGCAGCTTGAGCCGAAACAGGATTGTCGTAACTTACAAAACCTGTGTGTCCAAGCAGAAACCTAGGTGAGGGACATAATGAGGCAAGGAGAATCTCAGTTCACCTTATGCAAAAGATCCCTTATGTGCTTAGTCTCAAGTCCAAATTTTTCTCAGCAGGGAAAAAACTCTGGAAACGGTAACACATGAAATAAATTAGGTTCCTAACATACCATCTGACATCTACACAATACTTTCCCTTTTTTAGCATGCCATTTTCATACATTATTTTTCCCTCTGGAGCAGTATTGTGGGCAGAAATCATTACCTACACTACAGACGTGAGGAAACTGAGGCCCAAAGAGGTCACATGATCTGCCTAAGGCTAAGTTAAACAACAGCCCAAATTCCAGCTCCCTCCTCCTGTCAGCCCCTCTCTCTTTGTTGCTTAATTCTACCCTAAAACCAGGAGAGAAGTCAACATACCAAAACACTTGCTCAGGTTTGTCTGCTTGTCAATAAAAACCTTGGCAGACACGACATTCCCAAAGGGCATAAACATCTGCAACAGGTCCTGATCTCCAAACTCCTGGGGCAGGTGGTAGATGAACAGGTTGGCTCCTTCTGGACCTGCAAAATACCCAACAATTGGAAAAGTATCAGTGTCAAGCACGCTTATCATCCCACATCAATGCTCTTCCACTCCCATATATGTTAAAACCATCACAATTCTAATAGATTCTCTGAGGGAACTAAACAGATTCTCTAAACACAAGGTGGGGAAACCAAAGGTAATCACTGAAATCGATTCCATTCCTCATGTTCAGTCATGTTCCGTCTCATGAAGGGACATTAAGAGTTCTACCATGCCAGATGAGTGTGTGTATGAATAATACAACAGATCTGTGTTATGCAGAACAGTATGATAGAATGGAGGCGACAAAGAAATAACAACAGGAGGTAGAAGAGGTTATAATAAAAATTTTGACTAGAAATCAAATGTATAGCAAATAGATTGGTAGTTGCAGAGGAATGACTTGGAGCAGCAAATGATGGCAATGGGGTATAAGGGAGTTTTGGGGGACAGGTGGTGGTGGTGTAAATGTTCTACATTTGTTGTGGTAGTAGTTAAAGAACTGTATGTTTGTCAAAGCTCCTGAAGCTATGTACTAAAACAGGTGAATTTACCCAAACTTATTTAACTGTATGCAAATTGTACTTCAGTAAAGATGTGTTTGTGATGAACACTGAGCTCATAAATAGAATATGCTTTCTTCATCCAATCACTTATACTCAGTGGTTTTCTAATCAAAGAAGTTCTATGACAATCACAGACTAGCCATTCTCTAGCCACTTTGGCCCCCTAGTTATCAAACACATAGAGGACCACTATTGCCTAGGGGCCTATGCATTTGCTATTCCTCTGTTCCCATTTCTCTTTTTTCTTCTATGTGGCTTCTTCTATGTGGCTTGCTTCCTTGAGGTTTCCATTTAAAATGCAGTGTCTCTGTCACCCACCTCCCTCTTTCTCATAAGACACTTTTTAGGGCACTATCTGAAACAGCTCATCCTTCTGGTTACTTAATGTCTATTTTTGCAGTCTTCACTAAAATATTGGTTCAGGCTAGGTAAGGTGATACATATCTATAATTCCAGTACTAGTGAGGTGGAAGGAGGAGGATCATGAGTTATATAGGGAGATGCTACCTCAAAAAAAGGAAAATACTGGCTCAAGAGAGAGCTGGAGGAGCACCAGCTTTGGTAGCATGAAGTCCTAAGTTCAAACATCAGTCCCAGCAAAACAAAAAAAAGAAAAGGAGGTGGGACCATGAGCGAAGTTCCCCCACTGCCACATCTCTAGGGTAGTGAAGTGTCTGATTCAGATCAGGCAAGGAGGACTCCTTTGCTATTACAGCAAAAAAAAAAAAAAAAAAGGATACTGCAGGAAGACTATCTGTTTATATAAAAACTGTAGTCCCATCCTAGGAAAGTGTATAGAGGTTCTGACCTGAACCACATCCAGAAAATAATCCAAAAGTACACCACACATTGCACAGCTCCTCAGTCTACTTTTGACACTGGTCAGAAAGGAAGATATTGGTCTGGCCATCTACCTAAAAGGTTCTCTCAGCTTCTGTCTTGCCCCCCAATCTCTGCCTCTCTTAGCACTCACCTTCCTTCTGGCTTCCAGCAGCACCAATACTCTGCTGTGTCAACAGATTCTGGTTGTACAGAGTTGGGAGCGCTGCTGCAGCATATTGCTGAATACCCGAGTAGGCCTGGGTGAGGGCCTCCATGGTGCTCCCAGTGCCATTAGAAAGGCCACTGCTGCCCAGGCCACCATTTAAAGCAGCCATCCCTTGGTTGGAAGAAAAGCAGGATTAACATACTAAAAACCACACAATTGATACCAAAGAAAGGTATATTTAGAGACATCTGCAAGAGGGAAAATGCCAAAATTTGCCCTTTCATTTTCTCTTAGTTTCTCTCTGAGGAGGAATATTCATATGACTGGTCAAATTTCAGCACATTTACCAGGCCTTGCTGCTAATGTGGACATTAAAAAAAATGCCATTACTGTTTTCCAGCCTGTGGAAGAACTGACACTACTCACACATATCTGGGTTTTTTTGCCACTTTCTCACATAGAGCTGGAATATGGTAAAATAAAGAGTCCCAGGGCTGGAGACTAAAAAGGGTGCATGTGATATGCACGTGTACGATATGGGTGAGGGCTGGAGGTATGGCTTAAACAGTACAGTGGCTGCCTAGCAAGTGTGAAGCACTGAGTTTAAACCCCAGTACCACCCTTTCCTCAAAAAAAAGAAAAAAGAGTGGTAAAACACTATCATCAAAATAGCCAACATTTACTAAGCATATTCTAGGTGTCAGGCACTGTGCTCACCAGTACTTTATCTATGCTCTCATTTAACTTCTTAATACCACTTAAGCTATTCTATTACTCTTACTTCACAGATGAGAAAATGACCACGTAAAGGTGATCCAAGGTTACAGCTAGCTGTATGGCAGAGATGGGATTTAATTCAGGTCTGACTCAAAATTCCACAATTATTTCTAATTTTCCTGAGCCTGTACCAGGGTTGTTTAAGATATGCCACCTCCATAAGAAATGGCTTCATGACAACGAGGGGCTGCCCCTTACCTGCCAAAGACCCGACGTTGAGGCCAGCTGTTGCTCCAGCTAATGTCTGCAGGGCTCCAAGTGAGGCTATAGGGTTGACAGAGTTACTGCTGCTGGAGCTAGGTGAAGACCCTGCTATTAAAAATCCAGGAATTAAACTCAAGCCATCACTTGTTTTCCCTTGTCAACATGATTCAAAGCACAAGAGTGGTATTACTCAATTATCAAATACTTGATACTATTTGCAAAAAGGTTTTCAGTTGCTGATTCCAGTAACTATCCTTACAGGACAAAGACAAATGATGGTTATAGCAAACTACAAATTACGAGAGTTTTCTGAACTCAGAAGATGACATTTGAGACTTTATTGTTCATAATCTGAGCCCTCTGGATACAGCCATTAATTTCTTTCCAAAATGACGGACTCACAACTTTGGCCTGTGCCTTCAAACAGGACCTGTCTAAGGCACACAACAGCACAATGTGTCCTGTGACATGCTTACCTGAACTGGTGAGTACGCTGAGGGGACTGCTGGATGTAGTGAGAGCATTGGTACCACTTGGTGTATTCTGAGCTGCACTAGCTGCCGCAGCTAGTGCGGCCAAATTCTGTAACTGCATTGCATTTAACCCTGTAACATCCAAAGGAAGAGATCAGCCAGCAGGTAAGGGTACCTCACATTTACGAAACAATGCCAGAAGACTGGTGCCAGACGAAGAGGAACTGTTCTAGGTAAGCCTTGCAAGCAATATTACAGGGCGCTAAGAAAGGTTTGGCCATCACTCATTAAGAAACTGTAAATTGCAGGAAGTATGACTCAGTGATTATGTATGCTTAACATGCATACAGCTCTGGGTTTAATCCCAGCTCAAGCAAGTGAGGGAGAGAAAGGAGGTAAAAAGGAAACTTTAAATTGTTTCCTCAGAGAAGAGTTAGCTAATCCAATAGCTCAAGTGAGCAGCTCAAGTGAACTTTAATAAAGGGGCAGGCAATTAGGAAACCAATGAGGAGCACGTCTGTGGTCTGCCATAGGAGCATGAACCCAAAGAAACAATGCCAAAACCTATGGCACAGTATGGGACTGCATCCAAGCCCCTCATGCTCATTTTATAGGGGATTTGTTCTGTGCAATGGAGGGGAACAAACAGAAAATGTAGCAGAGGTTGAGAAGGCCAAGGGGGAGCAACAGGAGAGAATACATATGAGAAAAGAGCAGGAGAACTAATAAAGAAAGCACTGCCACTTGAACAGCAGAGATTAACTGCCAGGAGAAAAACATGGAAAGATTTGCTAGTAGAATTTAGGTAACATAGTTAGAAGAAGGGGAAAAAGTGAATTGTGGATGTTGCAAACATTTTACTAGAAGATGGAAAGTCAGATTAAGAGTAGAGAGCATAAATTAAATAAAAATACACTATACATTACACTCTAGCAACTTTCTGAAAATACAGCAAACTAAATTCTCAAACTACAAAATTCAGTTCACTGAAGACTCCCTCTTTCTCAAATGTACATGTCTAGCCTTACTTCACTGCAGAAAGTATAGGCAGAGGCAGCTTTGGAACTGCTCCACTCTCTGCCCCCACAGACTTTTTTGATGGCCCCTGGTTCAAGTCTGTTTGTAGAGCCCCATTTTGTTATAAACCCAAGGTGTCTGTCATTAAGTCTTCAGTGTACCTTAACAGCAACAAGAGCCAAAATTCACCCTACCAAATGACATGTACAAGACACACAGATAAACTACCTGGATTCTAGCAGCTTCAGGGTAAATTATTTACATGGAAGTCATCCATGCTTTCCTCAGAGTCACCGAAAGTTACTTTATTATGGAAATAATGAAGGCGTTCCTACAATTTTCTCCCTTTCAGAGCAAGCTGAAGTGTGAATAAGCTCTTTTCCATGTTCTTCCCCAACAGTGACTTAGAAAAATGTGGGGCACCAGACAACCTCAGAGGAATGTGGCATCAACTAAAAATAGTTACCTTACAGAAACAAGGCAGTTGAATCTTATGTAATGAGTGAAAAAAAAATTGTTTTTGTTTGTGCAAACACTCTCAGACTGCTGGCAGCTGGATCTGTTGAACTGGGCACTGCTACTCCTCCACAGCAGTTAAACACTTACCTCCCATTGGGTGGAGGCTGCTCAGGGTGTTGAGGTTCCCAGAGGAGGCAGTCTGCTGAAGGAGCTGCAAATAAAGCTAGACATTACACCAAAAAACAGAACAAGAGTGAGAGTGAGGGCTGGTTCTGCATCTGGGATAACTCTACAGCACAGCAAAGCGAGAGTGCAGAGGCCCCCAGAAAGAAGAAAGTCGAAGACAAGATCCCAAGCCAACACAACAGAAATATGAGGCTTTTGACAGCACAGAACAACACAGCTAATGCCTTGGCCCAGAAGACAATATATTCACTGGATACAGAGTTAAACTCAAATCTCTGGGCAGCAGAATGCTGCGTATCAGAGGATAAAAATAGTGCAGGGAAAAAAGCTATACTCGACCACCTGCAGAGCTGGGTGTATTAGTGTCCATGTATGAAAAGTATCGTTTCTAACTCCCTTCTCCCAAGTTCTCACTCCTTATCAAGGCCAATACATCTTATTTTGCAGAATGTTTCCATCTGGATACCCAATTTCTACCCCCAGACAACTACTTTAAATATCACACCTGACCATTCCATGGTATTTATTGTGGTCAGTTTTTGTTTGTTTTTTTGGGTAGTGCTGGAGTTTGAATTTAAAACTTCACGCTTCTAAGCAGGCAGTCTACCACTTGAGTAATTCCACCAGCCCTTTTTTGTGTTAGGTCTTTTCAAAATAGGGTCTTAAGAACTATTTGCCTGGGCTGGCTTCAAACTGTGACTCCTGATCTATGCCACCTAAATAGCTAGGATTACGTAACTGAGCCATCAGTGCCCAGCAGTTTTTGTTTTCTGAAACGGGTCTAGCAATATAACCCAGGCTGGCCTTGAACTCATGATACACCTGATCTACTTGTCTTAGCCTCCCAAAGTGCCGAATTACCATGCACCACCACAACTGGCTTCATGGTATTTCTTGGAGTCACCTTGTACAAGTCACAAGGGACCCATGACTAATCAGTTGGCTCAAATTCGAAATCTATCCAGCCTCATTCATCTCCTCCCCTCCAAATTTGCTTCCACTGTTGCACTGACCAAACAATTAATGGATCAGTCCATAGCAGGTTCAGTGTACTTTTCCTTCCAATGGTTGTCCCATAACAAATAAAACCAAAGGACCTGTCTGTGAGCTTATGGAACTATATGACTTTACTCTGAACCTTGTTAAATCACAACCTTCATGTTTCAAATCAACCTGCTGAGAACCTCTGTTCCATTCAAACTCAAATACTGATGTATATGAAAAGAGTATTTTTGTACTAGGTCCTTTATTCAAACTGTTTTCTGTTTCTAAAAACATGTGACCTGGTTCCTCTATCATGAATCCTTCTAGGGCAGAGTTCATGGATGGATTTCAGGTGGTCATCAAACCTCCAGAAAGAGAATGAAAAAAAAAAAAAAAGGGAAAAAAAAAAAAAAAGCACATGTATATATGTATTTTTTTTTAACCACTTCTTAAAGGGAGCCACAATCCCAATCCCACAATCAATCACTGCCCTAGTACATGAACTGGTTGAAGTCCACATATTCCAGAAAGAACCTCATAATTAATGATGATGGTCTATTATTTACACAGTCCATTAGCACCCACATGTCTTCATTTTTGTCTTCTTATATACCTCGTATAATGTGTTCAGTTCCAACTGATGGACTGTGCATATTGTATTTGGTACCTCCACTTCCTCCCTAAATGAGAACAACTCTTAGGGCAGGATCATGTCTAACTGAAACAGAGACCATAGCTCTCAACATATACCATATTATACACTTGCGGGGCATGGCAATGGCAGCAAAATGTGGAATTGCCCCTAAAAGGGGCTTAAAAACTCTACAGAACGCAAATGCAGATCAGGGAGATCATTTTCAAAGCATCATCATTCTAGCAGACTAAAAATCTCTGAATTTTTTAACTTATAAGCAATGTTCTACCACTAAAAAAACGTAATCTGATGAAATATAACAACCTTTGACTTTTGGGGGGGGGGGCAGTACTAAGGTTTGAATTCAGGGCCCACACTTTGAGCCACTCCACCAGCCCGGTTTTGTGATTTTTTTTTTTTTTTAAAGATAAGGTCTCACAAACTATTTACCCAGGGCTGGTTGTGAACCATGATCTTCCTGATCTCTGACTCCTGAGTAGCTAGGATTACAGCTGTTGAGACACCAGCACCCAACATCTACCTTATAGTAAGAAATACTAGCTAGAATAAACTGTGATTTCTTCTAAGATTTTAGAAATATGGAAACCAATAAGCATCAAATTAACTAAAATTCAGTACTAGGGGAAAATAAATTATTGCCTTTCCTGTTTCCATACAGAGTAATATTTGAAGAATGAGAAGTGAGTGACTGTATTATTCATATGAGTATTTCCAGACCATCCAAACAAATCTATGGTTTCACCATTTATAGCTTCAGAGATGACTTTCTTTTTTTGTTTGTTTTTCAGAGACAGGGTCTCACTCTATTCAATGGGCTGGACTTGAACTTGTGATCTTCTCCAGATTCAGCCTTCCAAGTGGCTGGGATTATAGGTAACTGTTACCACTTCCACCACTTAAGATGACTTTTTCGTTGTGACTCACACATAAGACAGTTCTAAATTTCTAGCACTGGCTATGATTCTTAAGGGTTAACACAGTAATAATCCCCTCTACAAACCTACACAATCAAAGTAAGTTAGAAGTAGACTTTCTTTTGGACTATATAACTCAAGTTAACTCAAGTTGCACAACAGAGACATCAATTTAAAGGAAACCTATTTATAATTTGGTGAACTCGAATATGCACTTGTAATTCTCATTTAATAATACTGATGTTAATCTCTTGACCTTTCAGTCTACTAATTATTATGCTTTGTTTTTAGGGGAAGGGGAGAAAAAGGGGGAGTTAGGATCTCACTATGTAGCCCAGTTTGTCTTTGACCTTCCTCAGCTTCCTGAGGGCTGGGTTACAATCAAGCACCACCATGCCTGGCTTATCATAATTTTTAGGGAAGACTTCCTAAGGATTTTAATGATGCCCTCTACATCTGGTAGAAAGAAGTGTGGAGACTGAAGTTTGGTAATTAAGATTCACTTAGGCATTATTCTCTTGGAAGCAGGGAATCATGAGAGGTTTCTTAATCTTTAAATCAGATAATCAACATTTGACTTTAATTGTAGCAAAAACCTCAAGATGTAACCAAAGACACATGAACAACCAGAGAGAGAATGAGAAAAAACAGACTACGTGACTTATAGAACATCACAATGCCTGATTTTTTTATGTAAAATCTCTACACGACCAAAGTTGTAAATGCCACTGTGTTTGTTAGCTAGGGACAGCAGAAGAAGAAACAGCTGAGAGCTTGCACAGTCTGCAGAAAGCAAACCACAAAGACTCACTGCTAAATACTGGGGTCCAAGAGTATTTAGACCAGCAAGGTTTCCCCATACAGATGCTGCGCTGATCTGCTGCATCTGCTGCTGGAGCTGCTGGGCCATTCTCTTCTGTTCTTTGTCCTTCTGTGTATCAGCAAATTTTACCACCATTGGAGATGAGCAACCCTATGAAAACACCAAAACAAAGGGTCAGATTCCTCCTTCTGGATTAAGCAAAAAATTCTTTTTGATAGCATGCAGGCTGTATTCCACTTTCAATCACTGCCAAACGACTCTCCTCCTGATCCACACCAGTGACAAAACACAACTTAAAAGGGCAACTGTTTCCAATGTGAAATTTCATTTTTTGACTGTTTACTTATTTTTGAAATGGGGTTTTGTTATGTTGCCCAAGCTGGCCCACAACTCTTGGGCTCAAGGGATCCTCTTGTCTCAGCTGTCTTGAGTGTTAATTTTAAGGACAGCACTGGCTTTTTACTTTAAAATAGATTGGCTGTTGGGGGTTGGGAAGAAAAAAAAAATGATTGGCTGTTTCAGTTTTAGGGCAATTCAACGCTGTGCATACTGCTAGCACAGCTAGCCTGATACTGTCAGGCTAAAGAATTTCCCTCTTTCACCTATCTGTTCCCTACCTCCATGGTTTGTGCTTGGTGCATTGCCTTGATAGCTGTCTGTGCCATGGCTCTTGTTGTAAAAGTCACAAATGCACAACCTAGTAAGAAAAGAGTCAGTAACTTATTCATTCGTTAACATATTTATCTGACAGACATTCAATGACATCTACAATGTGCCAACTACCATATTAGCAACACAAATGTGGTCCCTGTCTTCAGAGGGTAGAGCACCCTGTCATGAGCTGGTGGAGAAGACACATATGTCATAATAGTTTAGTGCTATTATGAAAAAACCAAGGAACCACAAAGATTGATAAAGAAGGAATCATATCCTTTAGTTCCTCTTGAACAGAACAGAAAATGTGAAAAAAAATGCTTCCATTTATCAAGACTCTCACCAAGAACAAGAAAAGGAAACTTTAATACATGACATGGGAACACAAAATACGACTCTTTAGGGAGGCTGGAAGGATACAAAAAGGATCAACTAGTAGAAGTCTGATAGGACTTGGATGTACAGCAGGAAGCAGCACGCCCAACCATGACAAGGCTACGGTGGCTAGGGATCAAATTTCTACTGGTCCAATTAAAAAAAAAAAAAAAAAGATTCCAAATTTAAGATAAGTATCTTTAAGACTATAAAAATGTATTACCTCGGCTCAGGCCATCAGGTCCCCGCAATATCCGGCACTCTTCAATCTGTCCAAATGAAGAGAACATGACTCGGATGTCATTTTCAGTGCACTTCTTGGAAATCATACCAATGAACAGCTTTCTGTCTTCCACTGCTAAGAGAATAAAACACAAAAGGCTTGAATATTACTAAAAGGCAGTGTAGCATAGATTTGGGAGCCAGATACCTGGGGTCTGAATGCTGGCTCTGTGCCTCATACTGTATTTCACAGATTAATTTTATGTCTTCTAACTAATGGTATCTTAAAATTATAATTGAAAGTACTTAGGTGAAATATGGGGGCTTTCTGATCGCTAAAGTTACTTAAGTGATCTGTGCCAGTTTCCTCATCTGATTAATAAAGATAACCAGGTTTACGTCAAATGGGAGCTGCAGGTATTAAATGCATAGTGCTTAGCATCTTGCCTAGTATTTAGTCTGTATGCTCTTTCTAGCAAAGATATGAAAGAGGTTTTCACACTTGATGTAACCAGAGGAACAAACACTTTTCATTGAGTCTATTTACCTTTTCTTTAAAAACAAACAACTATGAATGATACTCTGATTGTTCTTTTGGAGGGCAGGGGGAGGTACCAGAGGTATGAATTCAAGGTCCTGGTGCATGCTATGCAGGTGCTCTATCACTTGAGAAATGCCCCTAGTTTTTTGGGGGGTTTTTTGCTTTATTTTTCAGATAGTGTCTTGCATTTTTGCACAGGGCAGGCCTCAAACCATGATCCTCCTACCTTCAGCTCCCGAGTAGCTGGAATGACAGGTGTGAGCCACACTACACTCAGTCTACTTTAGTCATTTGTGTCCACTTGATTCTCTGGCAATTCAAAATTCATATCCTTGCCCTTGTGCTGTTTTTTTTTTTTTTTTTTTTTTGGTGGTACTGTGGTTTGAACTCAGACACTACACCTTGAACCACTCCACCAGCCCATTCTATGACGGGTTTTGAGATAGGGTTGCACTCACAAACCATTTGCCTGGGCTGGCTTTGAACCGTAATCCTCTTGATCTCTGCCAGGTTACATATGTGAGTCATCGGTGCCCAGCTGCCCGTGAGCTTCTTAAAGGCTCCATAAAAAGTTTTAGCCCTGTGTTCCAAATTATTCTGTTGCTTTGGTCAAATGGATTTTCTTGGGAAGAATAAACACAATTCCCACAATTTCACATGAGAAGATGAAGTTTTCAAGGATCCCACCAAGCACAGCTGTAAGAATGTTGCTCCTGAGATGCTTGTGCTTATTTTCATACAGCTTTCTAAAGGTGGCTCTGAGCAATAAAAGACTGCAGGCTTCTCACGAAGCTTTTTCTCCAATACACATATAGCCAGACTTGGATTTTCTTAAAACATTTCAGTTGAGGAACTGGAACAAAAATTATTATACCTTTCTGATCACCATTAACTTTAATTTCTTTGGATGTGGTGATGTTTAACTCCTACAACTGAGACTTTAGATTTTAGTTCACCTCCTGCTCCTCCAGCACCTGGGAGATAACAGAGGATCTGAACTCATCCAGCTCCTTACCATTGGGCTTCACAATCTTGAAACTCACCTGAACAAGGCCATGTCCTTGCTAAGTAGCAGCTCAGGAAGCTCTGGCTATTTTCTAGAGGACTAAGCCTCCTTCTAAATTTGTTCATCCCCCCAATCCCTACTCCTGCCCATAAGAAATAATATTTATTGGGCTGGGGTGTGGCTCAAGTAGAAGAGCACCTGCTTAGCAAGCATGAAGTCCTGAGTTCAAACTCCAGTACCAAGAAATATATATATATGTATGTGTGTGTGTGTGTGTGTGTAAGTATATATATATATATATATATATATATATATATTTTATATAACTATATATTCTAGTTCATTCTAATATGTTCTTAGATAAGACTTATTTTAAAGACAATATTGATTCTTAACAGTTCAATTCAATCCAGATATCATAACACCAAACAGCAAAAAATCTTATATAGAGAAAACTGGATATGCTGGCTTACCATTGTTCTTTTCACTGTCAGCAGGTTTCATCTGTATAGGATGATGCATCTAGAAAGGAAAACCCTTAAGTATTTTCCACATACACACTGATGGCATTCAAAAATACAAGAACTCTAAAAGATGTAACAAAACTAGATTTAAGAGTTCTCACTGAACTCATGTGTGACCTGTGATCTTTCCCCACAAAATATTAAGAATAGAGATACTGTGAGTCATATAGTTAAAATACCCAAGACTTCTGGCAGATAATTACTTTCAGCCTATATTCTTTGAAATGTCCCCTTACATCCTCCTTTTTATCATCACATACAGCAGTTACTTTTTTCCCAAAATGCTTTTCAGTATGTGCCTGATGTGTTAAGCATGCCCATGTATCAAAACTACCATAATTCCATTTACTAATAGCTTTCTTACCCCTGGAAGGACCTTCATGTTGTGAAGAGCATTCTGCGCTTCTAATGCAGCTTTACGGGTGTAAAATGTAACAAAACAGCACCCTACAACAAACAGGATTTTACAAAATCAAACCAATGCTTTCAAAATGGACTATTCCTACAGTACTCCCTCCCCTACACTAATGTGGGACTTAGGGCTACGTTTATTAAAATTGGGGACAGGGAAAGGGAGAATCTAGGGTGGGAGTTGTTAAAGCATTTTCTTTGTTGTTTTAAGTTTCCTCATAATAATATTAAAAGTCTTTTGTAGCTGCTCCTGTAACTTCTGAAAGACAGCATTCCTCACAAAGGTCAGGTTCTGTTCCATTTACCAACCTAGGAACTCCAGGTAATGTGCTGAGCAAGAAGACTCAGCTATAAACAAGACAGTCAAGGTCCATACTCTGGCAGATTGTAGTCTGCTAGGACCTCCTCTCCAAGCTCTCTCAGAACAAACCATACCTTACACAAAAAACCAGTTTCTACCATACAAAATTATCATTTATTAAATCATAAAATGACTTAAGAGTAAGAACCTAACATCTTTTTTTGAACTCTTGGTTCTCATCAAATATAATTAAGCTTCTAACAGCACATAGTGCTGCCTGAAATCTGTAGATTTTGTGTTGTTTCATATCTTTACTAGGGTTAGGAAGAGGAAGGTATGTCTTGTAAATATTGGGCTTCAATGTTCTGATGCTCCCATACTCCCATGAAACACAATACAGATGTCTTTCAAAATCATGCTGTGGTTAGGATGTTAAGTTAGTCAATATTACATGGCCAGCCATTTTTCAGAAACTACAATACTTTGTATTTTTGGTTAACTATACCACAAGGAGAAAATAACTCCTCTGCTTCTAGTTGCTCTATTATGATGGTTTTGAATGTGGCAATCATACTTGTTCACACTTGCATTGTAGAACAGCTTTCATGGAAAATTACTCCAAAATTGGTCATCTGGAAAATAAGAGCATGTCTATGTGCACCTGAGGCAAAGCTAATGCCTATTATCAACTGTCTTACTCTGCTGGTATTTCTGGAAGCAGCCTAGCCTTTCTTTTCCTGTTTGTTCTGTAGGATTCAGCACACAAGTTACCTCAACGAGTCCTTCCTAGTTGATAAATCATCACGCAAAGCTTCTGTAACACCAACAAGAAGTCTATCAGTACATGGATAGTCTCTCTTAGTTTATCCTAGTTAAAACACTAAGGAAAAACATGGCTGCTTCTATTTTGTTATTCCATTCTATGATCAAATGAGACACTCACATGAGCTCTCACAAAGGACTGCCCAGACCCAATTTACAAATTATCCCCACGAGGTCACTTTTTTTATTTTAAAGTCATTAAATATGTTTGGATTTGAAGATGGAGCTACTATAAAAAGACGAACTTTCTTCCATATATGACCACAGGAACACCTAGGCAAGGAGAGACAGAATGCAAAAACTAGGCTACAGGCGTGGCTTGAGTGGGAGAGCACTCAACGTAGCTCACACAAGGTCCTGGGTTCAATCCCCAGCACTGGAAAAACAATAAAACAACAACAACAAAAACACCCCATAAATCTTACCTTTGCTCTGAGGAGGGTTTTGGCTCCTATCCCTTAGGACATTGATTTCATAGACAGCACCATACTGTTCAAAGAGTTCCCTCAAGTCCTTCTCAGACCAGGTCCTTGGAACCTGGCCCACAAACATCTTGATAGCATCAAGATCTGGTTGGTCTGGGTGGTCCAGGGTGCCGTTCATTTTCTTTGAGCTGCATGAGATAAAATGAAATTTCTATTATGTATTCATGTTGCTTTCCAGGGGAGTTTCTTTTTTCTTTTTTTTTAAAAGATTTTCCAACTACTTTCTGAACAAGTAGAGGGGGAATTCTACTTTATTAATATTTCCAATTCAATTTATCAGAGCTGCCTGGTTCTCCCTCAACATGGCCACCCATTCCACTATATGCCAAACTAAAGTTACTGTGTGATTAGGTAAAACCCGGGGTTTCAACTAAGGAACCAACAATGTCGCTTATTCCTTATCTAGTACAAAAATTCTCAGAGGAATTTACAGGGTTTAGCTCCCAAAACAAGATAAAGTTTTAATAATTTTTAAGCACAGTTAACAAAACAGAAGCACTTCTTTTTAATGTCCATAAAATTTTTATAACAAAAGACTACTGATTACAGATAAGATTCAAGATTCTTCAAAGTACACAGTGACAGGTAAAATTTCCTTTCAGTAGATGTCAGAACAGAAGCATTTAATTTCTAAAGCACAGTTAGGTCCCCAGACTAAAACAAAGCTGTTTCTTAAAGTTCCAAAAATTATTGTGATATACACAATGTTGCCATCATCTTAGTTGTATTCTAATTTATCTAACATACTGCTATTTCTCCAATACCTTACCACTGGATTCGCTTACCAAGTGCAACCATTTTAAAGTCCACAAATTTCTCCATTCCAACTACACCAAACCTGTAATCTCCTACTTTGGTGTCTTACCACTGCCAAGAACCTAAGGAGATTCTTGCACTATAAATGTTGTTATTCAAAGGTACCATTATTTCAATATCCTTCCCAGTGTTTCAAGATCTCACTCTTAAACTTACCTAAACTTTTAACAATTTAACACCCACTCCCCATATTCAGCTTTCCTTTTAGTAACTGCTGCTTAATCCAGAGACTGTATCACCATATTTCTAGGTTTTAAAACCCAATCTTAAATAAGATGCTAGGTTTCTTCAAAGGAGAAAACAAGTTTTTCCACCACTGTTACCTTCTAAATAATGGTTGAAGATCTTTAAGAATGCTGAATCTACGAAAGCAGTTTAACCTCTAGCCTTTAATTCATAAATCTCTTGTAACTTGAACACCCTAGAGGCTAGTCCCACTTCACTTTTGCTGAATCTAGCATGAACTAAAATGAAGAAAGCTGTAAAATAAATGACATTCAGAACAACTCGTCCCTGTGTCTATGAAGAACTCTCTCCACATTCTTCCAAGCTAACTAGTTAGGTGTACTTAGTACTCAAACAGTACTAAATTTCCATCTCTATTATATATTCAACACCTTTTAGCATCATCTAGCTGTATTTACCTCTCCCAAGGTCTGACAGCTTGAAGGGAGAAATGATTTTACTTCCAATTCATTCCTGTAGCTACAAGAACAGCACCTGGTTCAGAGCTAGCATTCAAATGTGGGGTGGGAAGAAATTCTTGCTAATGGTTGCAACAATTCCTAATTAACCCTACCAAAATGAGTGCTGTACACAAAGAGGATTCTCAAATTAAATCATCTCCTATGATTATTTGACTGCCAAACTACTGCTCTTTTTTTTTTTTAAAGTGTTTTGGAACGTATCATTTCATTGGTTTTCCTTTTATTTGTTAACTTAAAACCATATACGCTAGGTCATTGCAAAAATATAATGTAACTGCTTTTAGAAGCTTAATTTTAATGTTCCGACAGAAACCAGGCTACCCTGATGAAAGAAAGCCCTATGACTAGTGAAACAATAGATGTCATTCCTATAACCTGCCCCCAACAACTTTAATTAAGAGTTTTAACAGCATTTTATTAAAATGTTGCTAATCTTTCATCTTATTTCTATTCTAGGCAAGAATAACAGAATCCCAATGGTGCTCAGAATGTTTTGATAAGCTGACAGCTATTTCTGAAAAGAGGCAGGGGTTTATTCATTTGTATTACATTGGAGGTAACTGCTCCTGCCTTGTCCCTTCCTTCTATGTTTGTATACTCTCTAATTTTTCTGCATCACCCATTTAGTGCAAAAATACAGTCAACATATGTAGATTACATTTTATCCAAAAATCAATGGGGATTTAGGATTCTCAATGAATGTCCTTATTTCTCTTTTTCTTTCCAAATCCTTCTCTATTTCTCAAGTTCCACCTTCTCCATAGGCCAATCTTTCCTCCTTTGTATACCAATTCATCAGCCAGAAAGAAGAATCACCTTGAGCAGTCTATTCAGAGAGGCCCAAGGACCAGGAACAATCTTTAAACTTAACACTTTAGAAGTCTGTTTTGGTTTTTTGGTGGAAACAGAGTTTGAACTCAGGGCTTCTTGCTTGCAAAACATGTGCTCTATTGCTCCAGTCCATTTTGCTCTGGTAGTTTGGAGATAGGGTCTCACAAACTATTTGCCAGGTTTGGCCTCAAACCATGATCTCAGCCTCCCAAGTACCTAGGATTACAGGCATAAGCCACCAGTGCCTGGACAGTTTTGTTTAAACAGAAATTGGGCTGTAATCCCAGCTATTTGTGAGGTGGAGATCATAAAGATCATAGTTTGAGGCCAGCCCTGGCAAAAAGTTAGTGAGGCACCCCCTCCCACCTCAACAAATAACCCGAGTGTGTGTGTGGGGGGAAATTTGGAGAGGGGGATGAGTGGGTGATGGGGATCCCAGCTATGGGAACAGGGTTGGGGGGGAGGTCATAGATAAGAAAATCACTAAAGGCTATTGGAAAAATAACTAAAGCAAAAAAGGGCTGGAGTTGTGGCTCAAGTGGTAGAGCGCCTACCTAGCAAGCTTAAGGCCCTGAGTTCAAACCCCAGAACTGTTAAAAAAGAAAATAATTGGACAATTATTCAATCTGATAATAACAAACAAAAAATACAAGCTCATGCCTTATTTTATTGTACTAAATTATTTTTAGTGTATCTTACAAGGGAGTGAGAGAGTTGGCTCACCACAGTGGTCCATGTCTACAATCCTAGCCACTTGGGAAGCTCAGAAGGATCTTCATTTGAGGCTAGCCTGGGCAAAAAGGTTTTTTCGAAGACTCCTCAATGGAAAAAAGATGGGCGTGGTGACATACACCTCCTGTTATCCTAGCAACAACAGGAAGTTTCAAATAAGAGGACTACAGTCTAGGCTGGACTGGCAAAAATCAAGAACTTATCTCCAAAACAACCAGAAAAAAAGGGTAAAGGTGTGACCCAAGTGGTAGAGCACCTGCCTCACAAGTGTAAAGTTCAAGCCCCAACCCCAGTACCACCAAAATAATAATAATTAATTAATTAAAAAAGAAAAACATGGGGCATTTCCTTAAAGTCTTGGAAATGTAGTTAAAAATATAGGTGGCAATGTCGGCCTGACATAAAAAAGTGAGTGACAGTAGAACCACATGCATATCTACATATACACATGTAATAAGCAATCACAAACTTTCTCAACAGCTCTTGTATGTGAAGAGATGAGCAACAATGCTCTTCCATTCTCTCTCTTCAACACATGCGTCCAGCATGCATGCTGTCCTTAACGAAGTATCCACTGCATTAAAAAGTCACCTAGGGATAACACAATCTGTGAGATGCCAAGGGTCACACATCATAGATTTACTCTATATATCACTAGATATATTCTTATTTGTGCCTACTTTCCCACTTGATGGAATGCTCCTCAGAGTGACTGATCATAAATTATGTATATTTTATTATGCCTGCTCAAGAACCAGTGAACTGAGTTGAGGTTTTATCTCAATGGTAGAGCACTTACCTAGCATGGGATGAGGTCCTGGGTTCAATTCCCAGTACCACAAAAAAAGTCATTCCTAATAGGCAAGACTGTTAAAATTATTTTTGTTGTTGTTGAAACAGGGTCTAGTTATGTAGTCCAGGCTGGCCTCAAATTCAAAATCCTCTTTTGCTAAGTACTGGGATTATAGATGTGTGCCTGGATTTAGGGTTTCTTTCTATGCATGATGAAAATGTCCTGGAATTTGATAATGCTGATGGTTACAGAATTTTGTGAATATCCTTAAAAACAGTTAGAACTGTGCACTTCAAAAAGGTTATGTGAATTACTTGCCACAGGACAGGATAGAAGGATGACAGCAAAGCCAACCCATACTATAAAGTAGGTAAAGAGTTTAACTTGGGTCAGAAAGATGGAGTTGCCAGGTCCAGCTGCAGAACTCCTGGTTAACCTTATAGTTCAGTCTATCTACACCTTCAAGAAAACCCCTTGGTATATGCTAATTTGACTGGATATCTGGTATCTGTTCCTTCTAGTCAAATGGGTGGGACAAACATAACCTTCACACCTTTTGAAAAATCATTTCTGAAACTTTTCTTATTTTGTCACTCTCTTCCCTCTCATTACCAGTTCATAAGCCTTTGTTCATTATACAAATAGAAAAGTTTCAGATACTTACCCATCAGGTAAGTATCTGCTGGTTTACCAGCAGGCATAAACACTTGGTACATTCCAAACTCTGGCTACCACCCACCCTTACCAGGTCCCTCTGGCTGTGCTATGGAAAAACTGGAGGCAAAGTGCATGGGAATGAAAGGCCTAAGTTGTTTATCAGCTGTTTTCTAGTGAGAACAAGACAGTAAATGTCTATAGTATTATGAAGTAATATTCATTTTAATAAAGGGAGATTTTTCTATCATTAGGTAATAAAGTTATCACTGTCGTTTTTCTTTTTATGAGGGTCTTGGAACTGGGGTTTGAAGTCAGGGCCTCATTATTACTAGGAAAGGATGCTACCATTTGAGCCACAACTTCAGCCCTTTTTTGCTTTTCATTATTTTTCAGATAGGGGTTTCAAGGAGGAGACTGCAATTCTACTTATGCTTCCACTATAGTATGGATTACAAGCACATGCCATCGCACCCAGCTTGCGGGTTGAGATGGAAGCCTCTAACTTTTTGCCTCAAACCATGTTCCTCCTAATCTGCACCTCTTGAGTAGCTGGGAATATAGTTATGTGCCACCATGCCTGGCTTCAATATAGGGCTTTTTTTTTTTTTTTTGGTGGTCCTAGGGTTTGAACTCAGGGCCTCACACTTCCTAGGCAGGTGCTCTCCCACTTGAGCCACTCCACCAGCCCTTTTTGTGTTGGATATTTTCAAGATAGGGTCTCTCCAACTATTTGCCTGGGCTGAATTCAAACCCCTATCCTCCTTATCTCTGCCTCCCAAGTAGCTAGGATTACAGTTGTGAGTCACAGGTGCCTGGCCTGAATACAGGTTTTAAGTCACCACTCAACAATGGCACAGCTAACAATATGCTTTTGAAGGTTTCTGGCCTTCTTGCCTGAGGTTTGGAGAAAATGTCTAGAGATTTTATCTCTGTAAACAATTCCAACTATAAAACAAACAACACTCAGTGGGTCTATCATTCATTCAATTTTATTTCCAAGCTCTTACTGTGGTGCCAGATCCCACCTGCTATAGGCTATAGAGAAAACCGAACACCTGCCCTCTTAGAGGCTTTGGCACTGAACAAATGGTAGCACACAACGGTACTTTACAAATTCTTTAGCAGACATAAAAATCTGCGAAAGATGTGGTTAATATGGTTTCGCTTTATTTGGAGGAGGTGGAGGTATATGCAGGGATTTAAAGCTCAGTCGAGTGGGAGAAGTGCTATATGGCGTGGAGAACAAGAAGCCTAAGGGGTGATGAAGCAATGGAAGGACTGCAGAGGGAAAAAGAGAGTGATTCAGAAAAGGAGAAAATACACTTGAGAAAGTCAGAGGAAGAGAGCAGAAAACTGGGGTGTAGGGGAGGTGGGACTGTTAGGAAATTGACAAGAATCAAGATGGAGGTTGATGGGATTCCCATGGTGTACTGACAGGCTTGGACTTTATTCCAGGTTTAAAAGAAGAGAATGATCAGACTTGTCTCTTAAAAGATACCTGACAGCCAGGCATGGTGGTAGACACCTGTAATCCCAGCACTCAGGAAGAAGATACTCAGGAGGGGAGCCAGTCTCAGCCATGAAGCCAGATCCTGTCTTTTTAAAAAACAAAACAAGAGCTGGGAGCTGGTGGCTCACACCTATAATTCTAGCTACTCAGGAGGCAGACATCAGGAGGACTGCAGTTTGAGGTCAGCCCAGGCAAAACAGTTTGAAAGGCCCTATCTCAGAAATACCCAACACAAAAAAGGGCTGGCAGAGTAGCTAAAGTGGCAGAGCACCTGCCTGGCAAGCATGAGGCCCTGAGTTCAAATACCAGTGCTGCCAAAAAAACAAAAACAAAAAACTTTTTTCTGGGAATGCAGCTTAGTAGTACAGTGCTGGCCTAGTATGCACAAGGCCCTGGGTTGAATCCCTAATGCCAGACATACACACAGTGTCTGTCTGTCTCTCTCACCTTCCCAGCTCCTTACTGTCTGTGGTGTTTTGGTGTATCATTCCTAAGGAAGTAGCAAGTCCTGAGGACCTGCAATAATGGGAAGAAATGGTGGGTAACTGCTCGTTGACACCTGGTCTAGTGTGCAAACAAAAAGAAAGCATCATTAAACTTGTATTGTAGGCCCAAGGTTCACATCAAATGTCCTCATGCAAGCTAATTATGGCCTCTCTCAAGTGGGTTTCTTGGAGTCTTTGCTGGCATTTCCTGTGTGGGGAACAGGAAATGTTTCTCTCTCTTTTTCCTCCCCCACCCCTTTGTCTACACTTTTATTCTATTATACTAATATAAATCCTTGTTAAAACTTAAAAAAAAAATGCACTTGGGAAAAATGATATGACAGTCCACTCTTTAATTAACTCATAATACTTGTATTAAGTCCATTACTCTCAAACTTTAGTGTAATTGAAACTATGTATTATATTTAAAATACAGTCTTGGGCCCTATTCTAGCAATAAAAATTATCTGGATTTTTAAGTTTCAGGTGATGTTCGTGCAGTGGTCCATGGTTTAGACTTCACGGAATACTGGGTTAGTCTAACCCTTTTAAAAGGTAACAGTCTGAGAAAAATATGGTCTTATGGGTTGAACACAATACAGTGGCAAAGCATAGAAAAAAAAAGCGTGATAATGCAAAGATAATTTGAGCCCCAAAGTTCTATTTCTAGGAATCACATCCTGGGACAAAGGAATACTCTGATTATGTACTAAGTCTTTTTTTTTTCCCCCCTGCAGGGTTGTTGTGGGGTACTGAAGTTTGGACTCAGGGCTTCATACTTGCTAGGTAGGTGCTCTACCACTTGAGCTATACCTCCAGCCTGTAATTAAGTCTTGATGATGGTATTTATTGTAATTATACCTGTTAACTACTGCTAAAACAACATTTTGGAAGTAAAGAACAATCATAGAAAGACACATTTACATTACCATTACTTTGGAGACTACAGTAAAGGCATAAATAGGATCCATTTCAAAAACAGTAAGATAACTAACTTGAAGGCTCCCAAACTATCCCACAAAGTATTTGCCATTATCCACACCTGTTACACCTAATCCCAGGCAGGGCGGACTGATTTGTACATGAAGGCCTAACCTCAAAGACTTGCACTAACACCTGTCATGTGGGGAATAGTCTATTAATCAATATTCTTGGCTTTGAATAACCTAAGGCTCATCTGCTTGAGGTTCCAAGATACTTAGAAGCCTAGTTAAAGTGAGTTAAACCAGGCAAGTCTAGTTAAAGTGACTGAAATCAGAGAAAATTCAGATTTTGACTAAAATTATGGGTTCAAAATGAGTCCTTCTCTCCAAAGTTCAGAATTAGTCCCGTGGAGCTACAACTCAGAGCCAGGTTAGCATTTTAACCATGTACAATGCAGTTCTTGCACAATATTGCAAGGTAAGGTGACTTCTCATTCCTTCATCCACAATTTATTTAAGCAAATTGCCAATTGAGATTGACTAAATTTTGCTGTTTCTGGAAGTTAGAGGACAATGTGATGTTCTGAAATTATGTGCTAAACTGCATATTCAATCAGATTGGGAGTGGGTCAAAGTCCAGGATTGTACTCTGCATGTCAATACAAAATGCTGTAATAAAAACACCCTAACTACCAGTCTCTGCCATGACAGGAGCGTAATAATTTGATAATTAACAACAATAATAAAACATTTCATTACCAAAAGATTATTTGAAATAGTATACTTAACCCAAGGCAATAAAGCTACAATTTAACAACAACAAAAATGGAATCTATCATAATAGGAAAACACTAAAGCTTGAAGGGATTAGAGCCAGCACACTTGAAATGGTGTTGCTGGTCATATATCAAGTGTACCCTTACACAAAGAACTTAGTTACAGCCTATAGGAAATTAGCAGTTATGAGATAGAATAAACCTAAAATAGAAAATAATAACATGAATGAATTTAGATTTTGGCTTTTTGTCCAAATTTTTCTTCCCTCTTTTAAAGGATCAGTTTCATCAAATAATAATAACAACGAAAACAGCCTAGTTCCTCTGCTTATGACAAAAATTAGACAGAAATACTTACACGGGACTGGAATTCAAAGAGCAATGATCCACCATCATTTCTGGAAGGAAATCCAACTTAAACGAAGCCATCACCTCACTCTCCCCTTCAGAAGTCAATGATATTAACTTGCTGCACTTGTCTGATCCACAAATACACACAGCTTTAGCTTCCTGGGCCCCACAAAAAACACAAAGTGGAAACAGGAGCTCAGGGAAACCAGCAGTAAGTGCCACAGAAAGAGGCAGGTCTGGGGAAGGGGCAGGGAAAGGGAGTATTGGATTAAAATGGGGATGTGACCATGTGAAGGGAGGTTCAGCCTAGCACACAATGAAAGTGCTGATGCGCCAGGCTTGTTTTGTGTGATTTTCCCTGGCGAAGCAGTACTAAGTGCACTGTCAGATAAATAGTGTGTCAGATCCATGAAGATAGCAGTGGCCAGCAGAGCAGAAGAAATACAAACTTGTTTCAAATTCTCTGAAGTCCTCCCTGCAAATCAGTTTTGGAGGTCCCTCAAAGCCTAAAACTACCTGAATCCAAAAAAAAAAAGAAAGAAAAAGAAAAAGAAAAAAGCTTTACCACGTGTAGTCTGAAAATGAACTGGTTTGTTTTCTTGATTTTAAACTTAATTTCCAGGGTTGGAGGAGTGGCTCAAGTGATAGACTGCCTGCCTAGCAAGTGTGAGGCCCTGAATTCAAACCTCAGTACCAAAAAGAAGGGGAGGGGAGGAAAACATAATTTCCGTATGTTAAAGAAAGCAATGAGCACAATTTTTGGGTCCAAATTAACCTCAGAACAGTTACAAAAGGAGGAACAGTAAGGCTGTTTGGAGGGCCAGAGGCAAGCTGGTTGAAGTGTTCACCAAAAACATGTTGCTCACACATAATTACCTGTACTGGATTGACCTTACTTTATTAATGGTATTGAGGATAAAGAGTGGTATCAAATGCTTCCTCACTAGATACCACTTTAAAAATCCTTGGTCTGGTATCATTCATTAGGTGGCACAGGCAAATTCCTTTTTTCTTTCTTATCTGTTTTTTTTTTTTTTTTTTGTGATACTGGGGGTTTGAACTCAGGGCCTCATGCTTCCTTTAAAGCAGATGATCTACCACTTTAGCCATGCCCCGAGCCCTAAAATTTCTTTATTAACTCTGATTCTTAACTTGCCAAAAACTAAAAAGGGAATAATAACATTCTGCCTCTTCTTGATGGCATACTAGGAAATAATGCCTTTTTAGTTCTCTGTTGACCTTTCCAAACAAACAAAAAGCTGCTACAGTGGTAATAATAACAAAAATAAGGACAAACATTCCAACATGGTGGGGAGAGAAATACAGGCTGTCTCTTCATTCTCTGTTTCCTTCTGTAAACTGGTGCTAAAAGGCTGGGGATATAGCTCAGTGGCAGAGCACTTGCCTAGCCTGTGCTAGCTAAGACCAAGGCCTGGGGTTTCACCCCCAGTACCAAATGGGTGAAACATTGTTGCTAAACCAAGATTTATGAATACATGCATAAAAATTCTATTATGGGTGAGCAGTAGAGATGGATATACTTAGCAGGCAAGGCAGATGTGTGCTTTCATTCTCAATTTAGCTCCACATCCCTCCAAACAACAAATGGTGGCTTTTCAATATTTAGGCAGTGACTCTAAAACTTATCTCTGAAGGCTCCAAAATTTCACAGGCTTTCTTTCCATTTTTATCATTAGGGTTGCCTTCCTGCAAAGATTTTATTTCACTCAAGCTCAGTTTACAACACAGGGGACTTTGAGATAGAATGTTATGTTCAGGCTGTGAAGAAGTAAATGAAAGTACTCCTATAACAACAACATGAACAACTAAAAACATGTAATGCCATAGGCCTAAAAGTTCTGGTCTGTGTAACAATGGCTGATACTTATCTATACCTGACAAAGGGAGGCAGAAGCTGGGTCTTCTCTCCAACATCCAGACATAACCACCCAAAATCTAGAACTATAACAGCAGCAATTTTTTCTATTGTGTTAGACTTGGCAGGCTGATCTACTACTTTGGAGTAGAAGTGGCAAGAGCTCTCTTCCATCCTATTAAAGGAGGAAGCAAGAACAAGTTGTGAGAGAAGACTAAGCAACCAATACACAGTACAGTTCATCCAGCCCTGAGTACTGGACAGCAGGAGATAGTAACCCTAGATGAGAATAGTTACTGCTAGTTTGTCCTAGTTTCTCCTATGTACATTGGAGCCAATGTCATTCCTCTTCCTATAGAAAGCAACCTGAACCAAGAAGTAACTTTGTGAATCAAAAAAATCAAATCAGATATTTTTAGTTTAAGAATTCCTTTAGCCAGGTGCTGGTGGCTCACGCCTGTAATCCTAGCTACTCAGGAAGCAGAGATCGGGAGAATCATGGTTCCAAGTCAGCCCGGGCAAACAGTTCAAGAGAGCCTATCTTGAAAATACTGAACACACACACACACACAAAAAAAGGGTTGGCAGAATGGCTCAAGTGGTAGAATGCCTACTTATAGCAAGAGTGAGGCCCTGTGTTCAAATCCCAGTACCTCCAAAAACAAAATTCCTTTAAAAAGGAATCAACAAATGTCAAGGAATTCTGGTTATTGTTATGTTTCTATTACTCACTAAAAACATATAAACTTGAATTATGTCTATTTTAATTAGAATCACATCTGTAACAAAAGCGTACTTAAACATGGGAGACTTTTACTGAGTCAGCAGGAAATGCCCAGAGTATGAAAGGATCCATACTCCTTATGATAATTTTTACCAACCCACAGGCTGAGAAACACTGACTTAAATTTTTTTTCTTTTTGAGAAAGGGCCTCCCTATGTAGACTAGGCTGGCCTGGGAACTCAATCCTCCTGTCTTCTGAGTGCTGGGGTTACAGGCTTGCACACACTTGACTTAAAGTTTTGTTTCTTTGTTTTATTTTTATAGTACTGGGGATTGAACTCAGGACCTCAGCACTCTACCTGTTGAGCCATAGTCCCAAGTAAAGTTTTAAAACCATTTTCACCAGACATAGAATTTTTGTTCAAAAGAGTTCTCCGGGGACTAGTGGAGTGGCTCAAGTGGTAAGAGTGCCACCTAGCAAGCATGAGGCCCTGAATTCAAACCTCAGGGCAGCAAAAAAAAAAAAAAAAAAAATCACCACAATACAACCTATAAGATGGAGGTGTGGCTCAAGTAGTAGTGTACCTACCTCGCAATGGCAAAGCCCCAACTTCAAATACCAGTAAGCCAAAGTAAATAAATACATAATTATAAAATGGAAATGTTATTACATGAAAGAGGGTGCATTCCTTTTGGCTTGTCATAAGAGTTTTCTTGGCAGAATTAAATTCAACTTGCTTGTGGGAAGAAAAGCAGAGAAATGAATCACAAATCACTCAATTTTATAAAAGGGTTATAAAGTTAAGTGACAATAAAAACAAGGGAGTATAAAAATGTGAATATTAAGGGAAATTAAAAAGTAGAATCAAAAGTCAGTTGTTCAGAAAACTACCCATAGTTTTGAGTTTTTTTTTTAAATTTTTAATTAGATATACATTCCAGACTTTTATCACAATAAACACATTAAGAAAAAAGAGATGGCCATGAGTAGTTATAGCCAGGTTTACTGTGAAAGAAGCATTAACTTTCCCTCAGAGTCTTTACCTACTACTCCTTTTACTCTGAATTTACTTTGATGATTTCACCTTCTTTCTGTGATTATCTCAGTTTTCTTTGCCTTAAAAATTCTCTACCCTTTAAAGACAATGATTAAAAGCCTGACTATGAGACAGTAGGAGCAAGCTGCCTGTTCCTGCTTACAGTAAGAACCCAAACATGGCATGATTTAAAATCATATAAATAAATGCTACCATCCCAAAAAGAAAAAGAACCCAAATCATTAAACATGACCAATTATAGATAAGGGAAACAGTCCAAAGAACAGCACACCCTCATTTAGAATATAGGAATGGAATAAGCTTAATAGGAAAATGATATAAAACTGGATTATAAGAGAAAGATAAGAATTACAGCATTTGTTTCATCCAAAGAGTGAAAAAGCAAAGAAAAGCATAGCCAAGAAAAAAGGCCTAGGAGGCAAGTGCAAACATCTTCTTGACTGATATAACCAGGAAGCAGGATGAGAGGTAAACAGATTTTATACATTCACCCCAATAATCTAAGTGTGTTTCAAAGGGCAGTAACATGAAGTCTGGTTATATGAGCACAGAACAGATTAGGGATTAATACTGGATCATAAAAGAAAATCTATGTCATTAAAAAATAACCAACAGTTATAAAAGGAAAACTGAAAGTACAAAAATCTAGAAAATAGTCCTAAACTCACAGTATTAAATGGACTTGGTATCTTCCCTCACTCCTCAGTGCTGCTGGCAGTTTGATGATAGAAAGGATATAGAAAAGAAGTACACAAGTGAACAGCGAGAGCAACTCAAAATTTGGCTTAAAACCTTTACAGACTTGAATTTCACTTCAAAACTTTAAGTTTAATTAATTAGTGCGTCTCCTAGAGCTCCCAACCTAGTGTCTTGCATATGCAAAATATGACGACCCAAACTGGTAATTATCTCTGCAGCATCCTACTTTGTGGGAACTTTTTGTTGCTGCAGCATAAACATGACAGTTAAGAATGACTCTTTAAAAAAAAAAAATGACTAACATACACTAAACAATGAACAGGAATGTAATACAGGTCATGATAAGGGGAGGGTAACAGGAGGGGAAGGGAAATATGGCTGAGGTACTTTCTAATACGTGTATGAATATGGAACACGGAAACCTGTCAAAGTCATTTCAAGAAAGGGAGCGGGAAAAGAGAGATTAATGGAGGGGATAAACCAAACTGGGATTTATTTATATATATTATGTGTGTGTGTGTGTGTGTGTATTATATATGGAAATGTCACAACGAAACCCCCTGTATAACTATCATATACCAATAAAAATGTTATTAAAAAAATTCAAGAAAAGGAAAACAACAACAAAAAAAAGTAACTCTAAATTAAAACGAAACTTTATGAATTTTCAGTAAGAGGCAATATAGGGCTGGTGGAGTGGCTCAAGTGGTACAGCACCTGCCTAGGAAGTATGAGCCTCTGAGTTCAAACCCCAGTTAAAAAAAAAAGAAATAAAATATTGCAAAAATATTTTTCTGTTTAGATTTCAAATCAGTGTGTGAAAAAAACATAGTTAAGTAATCTGTTGTGTGAAAGTTGTTTAGCATGTAAAAATTTCACATAAGTTATTCTGAAAGGATATACATATGTCAAGGCCAAAGGAAGGAAAACCAGAACCTCTTCTGAAAGCTAAAAAGAGCAAAGAGCTGATGGCTCACACCTGTAATCAGGAAGATTGCCTGGGCAAATAGTTCATAAGACCCAATCTCCAAAATAACCATTCCTCCATTCCAAAATGGAGGTGTGGCTCTAGCTGTAGAGTGCCTGTTTGCAAGTGCAAAGCCATGAGTCCCACAAAAAGAAAAATAAATAAGCTTTCCATTTCTTCCCTCATCTCTAGCGTCTTCCTTGCAAACATGAAGCCCTGAGTTCAAACCCCAGACCCACAATAAAAAAACAAAAACAAAAACAATTTTAAGCTCAGGCCCTGCCTAGGAGTCTATGACTAACCTGACTTAACACAACCTTGCTCAAATTGCAACCACTCTTTAAATTGTGCCATATTTTCAGGTACCAAATCAGCACTGGAACTTCAGTATAATTCATAGGTGGTAATAATAAGCTGAAAGCTTACACATTGCTTAAACTTCACTGAGGATTTAAAAGCACTATGTTGAATGAATTCTAGTTCCAGGAGTGTAACATTATCTATGGAATCCAATAATTTCATCCTCATCTTTGTTCTAGTTTACTTTGGGTCTCCCAATAAGGTGAAAGGAGGGAGTAAAAGTTAAACTAGTAGCTGCTGTGTGTAGACTATTGCTTACACCCCCAACTGTAATAATTAGGCAGCAGCTATCTAATAGGAGATGAGCCTACCCTGGAAATAGCTAAGGAGCAAGAGCTGGGAAAGCAAGTTCCATTTTCCTAGGGAAAGACATTTTGCAAATTATATCCCATAATGTAATAAAGTCATCATCATCTTTCTGAAAACAACCTTTTCATATACGCACAGCAGGCCTCATGCAAGAAGGTTAAAAAGATGGTCAGGGAGCACACTCATCCAGCAGTTAGCTCATACCTGTAGCTTTACAACTCCCTCTCTGGACTATGTCTTCACTCTAAAAAACCAAGGAAAAGAAAAATAAGTGTGCCATGCCTACTCTTCTCAGAATCCATATGTGTAGCTTCTTTCCAAAGAAAAGTCCCTTTGTCACCAAAGATTTAAAAAAAAAAACTCCTCCCTCTCCCATTTTTAAGTATACAGTTCCTTAAAGATAAACTGCATTTAATATCTCATAACTAATTAAAAAACATCATAAACTTAAAAAATGGAGAACTGAAAGACAATGTTACAACATATAGCAAAACAACAACTTAAGATTTATGAGGCTGAACTTCAGTACATTTAAACTAACAAAACAATCATTTTTAACATCTGCTTTGGGAATGGGAGACTACTACAAAAAAAACAAACAAAACAAAAATACTTAAAGGCCATATGATTCTTTCAGCAATTAATATCCTGTTATTAATGTGGAGAGGCTGCTGCTGTTTCCTCAAAGCAGTCTCTCTGCATAGGCAGGTGCTGGGCATGAAACTCTTGAAAGGCAACCAAGTTCCTGCCTCTGTAAATGGATCTTGGTGGCACTAGAGTGGTGGTAAACCACTAAAACCAAAAGAATCATAAGATAGGGAAGTTAATTGAAGGCAAAAACAAAGATAGAAACCACAAAACCAATTGGTCTTATTTTTAAACATTACTGAACCTTAATAAATAAAGATCTGATTCTATAACTATTCCCAACTCCTACAAAATTCCACTTACAACTCCTGCCAGATGTACTTCTATCTGGCTGTAATCACAGAGAACTACTCAAAGTCACCAAGGACAATGCAGACAATGGAAAAGAAAGAATTCTCAAAGACACAGCCAGTCCCAGAACTGTATAATGAGACCTACCCTCTCTGAAGACAAAGAACACTTAACATAAAATAGGTGCTCAAGTATTTGATTTTTCATATGGACCTAATTAGTTTCCAATTTTAGTAATAAAGTAATAGTATTTTCAATAATTGTAAAGCAAAAATCTATACTTAAAAAGAAAACTTTTAAAAGCATTTACTTCAACCTGCCTAAACATCAAAAGTTATTAAAAGGGAGCTGGGGGCATATATCTTATGCTCAGCATGTGTAAGGAAGGCCCTGGGTTTGATTCCCAGAACCCTGTTATGAGAGAATAGGAATTTCCATTTACTAAATTCACAATACTTCATTGGATCTTGCATCATAATCACTACTTAAAGGGGGACTACCCTCAGGATTCAGAAGCTAAGGAATGTGTACAAGGACTTTTAGTTAGGTACTCAAGTCAGAGCCCACTGTCTAGCTCTCTTAAGAAATGTGACCCTGCTGACAGACTTGCTCAAGAAGCAGAGTGCTGGCCTAGCAAGTGTAAAGCCCTGAGTTCAAACCCTAGGGGAAAAAAAAAAGAAAGAAAAAAAATTGTGACCCTAATGAAATAAAATACTGCTTAATTCTGTTCTTAAAAAAAAAAAGGGAGGGAGGTAACCCTAAGGGGCTGGAGGGATGATCAAGCAGTAGACTACCTGCCTTACAAACCCATGTGCTATGGGGGTGGGGTGAGAAGAAATGTGACCTTGGAAGATATCCAGAAGGTAGTGTATCTTAAGAGGGCTTTGGAGTAGTTGGATAGGAAGCAAGTTAAACTTCTATTGCTAGTGTTGTTCTAGAAGATGCAAAGGACAAAGAAAAGGTTAGGCACCATGTTTCCCAAAATGTTGCCAGGAAGACAGAGAAATACTGCCACAATTTGGCTAGTACTTGTAAGCATTACTTCTCTCAGATTGCATGCTGGTCAGAGAGCAAATGAGAGGCCTGGAGTTAAGGCTAATATATGAAAGAATGAGAGATACCTACTAGGTCCCAGAGAACACAGTAGTCCTTAGGGGGCTAGGAATGCCCAGAGAAAGAAATAAATGAGTTCCTTAAGTGGGGGAGAGGAATTGTTTTTTGGTTTCTTTTTTGTGTGTGTGTGTGGGGGGGGTGCTAATAGCCCAAGGAAAAAGCATGCATGAGGCCCTAGGTTGAATCCCTAGCACTGCCAAAAAACAAAACAAAAAAAATATACATACACACATATATGTACATCTTATTTATGTGGACACACGTATGTGTGTATATATCCACATAAATAAGATAGGAGTCATCCTATTTCTAAGCCACCCAAAGGCTGATGTTTTTTATTTTTTGGAGGTGCTGGGGTTTAAACTCATGCTTACAAGACAGGCGTTCTACCACTTGAGCTACATACTCAGTCCTTTTTGCTCTAGTTATTTTTTTTTTTTTTAATAAAGTCTTGCAGTTTTGCCTAGGGCAGCCTGGACTGTTATCCTCCTATTTATGACTCAAGTAGCTGGAACAACATGCCACTATGACCAGTTGGTTGAGAACTGGGTCTTGCCAACTTTTTTTTTTTTTTTGTGGTATTGGGAATTAAACTCAGGACCTTGAGTTTGCATTAACATTATCTGGCTTTAATAAATGTTGAGATGTTTAAAACAAGACCTAATATGAAGTTTTCCAGTTGTATTTGACCGATACAAAAGCTCTCAGATCTTCTATACTCCTTTCTTAGAGTAGGCAAGGTAATGAACGCTCTCTTATTTCTCAAATTTCTTGCCAACCTATACAGCTTGTATGATGAGTAAAGGACAAAAATACCTTCCTTTCTGGGAAAATGGCTACTGACTCAGTCACCATCAGTAGCTCTTACATATCACACACTAGATCACAAACTCCAGAGACAAGGGCTAGTGGTACAGTGATGACCGATGATCTATGTAAGTCCTAAACCCATGACCTTGATTCATTAGCAAGACCATTCTTTTTTTTAAAGGGTCATATGGGCATACACCCATGAGACTTTTTGCTGTTGTTAATTTTTGGGGGGCTATTTATTTATTTATTTGTGGTACTGGGGTTTGAACTCAGGGCCTCACACTTGCTAGTCAGGCACTCTACCACTTTTGACCCACTCCACCAGCCCAAAACTCACTCTTAGTAAACAGTAAAAACTGTTAGTAAGTGCCTTCAATAATTACTTGAAAAATTTTTGTTGCTATGTTTTAAGACAGTGTCTCACTACATAGGCCACGCTGGCCTCAACTTTTTTTTGAACCTCCTGCCTTTGCCTCCCCAGTGCTGAGATTAAGAACATGTAGCACCATGCCCAACTGTGCCTGATAATTTTTCTAAGGCAAATCTTGTAAGTAGGTAAACATCCAAAGCTTCAATGGTTACAAGAGTCTTTTTCAAGAAGTGTGATTAAGCCAGGCATGTTGGTGTGCATGTGCAATTCCAGCACTCTGGAGACAGAGGCATGAAGATTTTGAGTTCGGCTTGGGGCCAGCCTGGACGTTACACAGCAAGATCCTGTCTCAAAAGAACAAACATGATGAAGGGCAATGACAAGTATGCTGTTACTTGGTAGAGGTGTGACTTACGACAAGTTAATCGGTATCTCTAAGTATATCAGTTTGGCCTGCAAAAGAGATCTTAAACTATGTATCTCAAAAAGGACCGAATGGATGCTCATAATACAATCAAGCTGCTATATAAACCTTTTTTTTTTTTTCCCTGTGGTGGGACTGGAGTTTGAACTCAAGGTTTTGTACTTGCAGAGC